TAATAACACTCAAGATGATCTGCTCCATGACCTTCCCTGGTACCGAGGTCAGACTGACAGGTCTATAGTTTCCAGGATCCTCCTTTCTGCCTTTCTTATAGATGGGTGTTACATTTGCTTCCCTCCAGTCTGTTGGGACCAGTTTACTTCACCTTTCTTTCAGACCAAATCCATTGCTCTGTTTTTATTTATTTAGGGTTGTCTTTCCCCCCGCCAACTCCAGTAAATGCCCTAATCAGTGCGTTGCTCTCACACACATTTTAATATGACTTTCTTAATTATTTCATACTCCTTAGGGATCTCATATACTCAACGACCTACAAATAGCACTCTACTTAAATACCTGCTTTTCTTTATAAACCTAATTTTCTTATAAACTGGTTACAAAGAGAAGTGGTTTGTGCTGAGGAGGACAGAACTTTGGATCAATCGTACTTAAAAATCCTCTTTAATAGCTTCAACACACACACAAACAAACAAATAAATCAGCATTGCAGAATTATTATCAACATGCAGAAATTTCCAACTATTAAAGAAATAATCTTGAGAGTTAGAGTAACAAGTGAAACAATTCAAATTACAAAGTCATATACTGAGAGAGCAGGAACAAGAATTTCTGTGGCATGCTGAAATCGTCAGGTGAAAATTGTAAAGGGAAAGATGTTACTATTTGATTAGAAAATGAACTGAGAGTCATCAGCATGTGGTAGTTAAAAAGGCTGATTATTCAGGAGAGGCATTTCCAATATACTTATAGAAGACTGGATGCCACTGAAAAAGTCATTGGTAAGACCTCCTGTAAAACAGCATACATAGTTCTGACTACTCATATTTGCAGACATTAATTTCCCTAAAAAGTGGCAGAAAAAGGCTATGGTGTTGGTGAGGAAATGGAAACCCTGTAATACTAAAAGAGACTAAAAGACATTGGCTAGCTTACTTCTTCAAAATTAAGGGGTTGTAAGATGGCACATCAGATGGTGAACATCACAAGGGAGAAGAATTATCAAAGCTGAAGGACACTACTGGTGAAACAACAGAAACAGAACTTGCTGTGAATAAATTCATGCTAAAAAGAGAGTGGTTGCAGCCCTTCAAAAGGGTGGACTTCTGAAACAGTGTCCACATAAAAATAACCATAGAATCACAGAAGGTCAGGTTGGAAGGGACCTCCAGGGTCATCTGGTCCAACCTTTTTAGGTAATTACATAGTTTAAATGAGATGGCCCAGCACCCAGTCAAGCTGAGTCTTAAAACTGTCCAGTGTGGGGGAATCCACCACTTCCTTTGGGAGATTATTCTAATGTCTATCTGCTCTCATGGTGAAAATTTTCCTTCTGGAGTCTGATTGGAATCTCCCCAGCAGCAACTTGTACCCATTACCACTTGTCTTTTCCATGTGACTCCTTGTAAAACGGGAGTCTCCATCTCCTTGGTAGCCACGCTTAATGTAGGTTTAAGAAGGATCTTGACCATGAATGAGATTACATAATGTTGTTACCTATTACAGACAAGAATTGAATTTGACACAAGATAACTTACTGTCTTATGTTCCTGTCACTTTTCCCAATTCCTCTGCGGTGAGGGTGCCAAGAAGACTGAAGAGAGAGCTGACAGGAGCCAGGGGATACAAGCACCCATCCTGCTGCTCTCCTAGAAAGAAGCACTATGTACATGGGGTTCCACCAAGGCCACTCAGACCAAGTAGCAGCGAAGGCTTCCCCATGCCACTCTGCCTGCCTGAGTCAAGCCAGGTCACAGAGAGCCAGGACAGAGCATCAGCACAGACCCCACGCTTGCCCATCAGCTAGCTGTGCTAGCTGTGGTGACAGTGGCACAGAGCTGCATTTTTTGATGGGGGCACTGCTTAATGAACACTCTTGGCCATTAGCAGTCAATGTGCTTGGATTTTGGTTGATGATTTGAAGATGACACTAGATTGGGAAATTCCTGTCATTTTCTTATGCTGTTACTTTCTACTTCTTATCCTGTTTCAGGGATGAAAAAACCCAGAACAAATGTCAAGGGAAGGCATACCTACAATTTATCCATGGGACACCACACACATTCCATAGCATTTTCTGTTACATCCTGTTGGCCTTTACAGTGGTTTGTTATTGTTCCTTTATGCTACTCTCTGTAGAGATAAAGTTTCTTCTGAACTATCTGTAGCACTACATAGACTATTTCTTCTTGCAAGGCTGAAACTAGCAGAAAATCTGCCTGCAGGTAACCTGCTGTTCTGTTACATGAATATCATATTTGTAATTGATTAAAAATCTAAATAATATTCCTGGTGCTGCTATGAAGTTGCACTTCAGGTCCAGCAATTTATTATGAAGCTGACAAAAATCAACATATTTGGAATTATAGGATTGTTCCAAAAATAAAAATGAAGCATAAACTGGCATTTTTGATTCCCAGTACATAAGCTGTTATTACAAATGAGTGTCTTATAGTCCCAGAGCAATATGTATTATAATACATAGACCTATCAAGGTAATCCTTCTGTTCCATGAGGCAGAACATGGGGCAGCATAAACATACAAAACTCATTTCCTCAGAAACCATTCCAAAACTGTAGGACGTCCTAACAAATGAGACACTTTACATCTTTTAAGCAAAAGATTAAACACATCACCAAAACTGATCCCCAGTTTTAGTGGCCTCCCTTAAAATGAAGTCTTACAGAGAATTACAATTCTTATGCATTTATCTTGGTATGATGTAAGAGTGCTGCTGCCAGAGGCCATGTCCTCTGAGGTATTGAGCACTGCCTGAGGAGTCTGAGAGTTCTCATCTTTCATCTGGGTATATGAATATTCCATGTTATGCCAAGGTCAAAAGCCAGGATTGAAGTGCTAACCTGGTTTGCATTTTAATATTTAAAAGCGCCACATCTGATCTGGTTCTCCTCACCTAGAGTTACAAAATCCACTGCTTCCTTGCAAAAGTGTGGCTGAGGCTTGCCTGAAGACCCTTGTCCTCATGGTACAAGGTTTTGTCTTCTTCCTGCTATGCATATTTACCCTTAGACAACATCTAGCTCTTTTAACCTCATCTGCCACTTCACAAGCTGTCAAATGACTATACAAGCATTAAAAAAAAATGAAGGGTCTGTTAAGTTGTAAATTAAATGACAGTCTATAGCTGAACATTAGCAGTAATGTGCCCAAAACTTTATTGATTGCTCAGAAAAGGTGACTAACCTCCCTATGCTGGCTGTGTAATTACTGACTTTTAGAACCCAAGAGCTATTAATTTAAGAACAGATAGCAGTGAACTAGCAAATGAGTTATTTTCCAACAGGACAGTAAAGGCACATACCAAGTTTTTGCATGTGTTCAGTGCCACTCTGAATAGTACTGTTACATATCTATGTTTTTCATTTTAATGCAGAATATAACCCAAGCTGTATCTGGACATGAAATGCCTGTCATCCAGTTTGGAAGATAAGTGGGAATGTACCCACACGTACCGGGGCCTTTCAGCATGCTCTGAGAAATCCACATCCAAAAAGGTTTCTAAATCACTGTTAAAGCCAGGAAAATCATATTGCCAAGCTCAGCACTCTGCTACATATACTGCAAACATTTCATTTGTACTCTGAGAGATGGAGATGGAAATGGCCAGTAACAGAGGAATAGCAGACAGGAATCTGACATCAGTAAAGTTCCTTAACATGTGGGACACACACACACAACCCCTCTCCCCCCAGTTAACGCTGCTGAGTTTAATCTGTTACAGACTCTTGTACACTTCATGGAAATAGTAGTTTAAAGACTATGAATACAAATGCTTCAGCAATATTTAACTTTGTTTCCCTTTTTCTCCTTAATAATAAGCACTTATCGTGATAGTGAGATAGCTGCCTTGTGACAAAGCAAACTACATTTTAAGAGCATTGCTTAGGTGGTGGAGCTTACATTAAGAAAATTTAAAAAATATATATTATCTGGAAGTAATCAAGGAAAAGGGTTTCTGACCTGGTGCAGATGTCCTTCCATGAACAGCAGTTTCATTAGGCAGGAGATCTTTTGAGTTGGAAGTGAATGGTGATTGTCTAAATGTGTCTTCAGAAAAGAAAGGGCTATAGGAAAAAATAAGACACCTGTTTATAAACAAAACAGCAGTTGACAGAAGTGGTAAATATGATTTTTGACTCTAACATCTCAATATTACAACCATCTTGTTTCACCCTGTTTCATTTACAGAATTCATGCTGAAAAACATGCAGACCTTGAGGCAAGGTGTGGGGAAGAGGCATTTGGTAAAACTAAAGTCCTCCCAGAATGCTTTTAACTACATTAGAGCATCTCAGATTTGCTGGATCACGGTACAGTATGGATCATTAAAATTAATGCTTCAAAAATTTGTTTTCTACTGTCCAAAAATATATATTCTACTGTCATATCTGGAGAGGACAATCAGGAAAGGTGGAAAATATTATTATTTAGTAATCTGAGGTATACAGTCACTATTTTTAAAACAAAACTTTTCAAATTTTAGGTTAAGATGTGGATCTCTTTTGACATTCATTCCATGAATGAAATTAACTCCACAGATTTGATTTTTAAAGAAGGAAACAATTAATATACGCTAACTGAAGGTTTAGTACCCAGACTATGAAGTGCAAAAATTATCAGCTTCTTGACTCCAAAAAAAATAGCATGCTTTGTTTTTAATTAACAGGCAATAAGAAGTCAATTTCAATAGTGAACTGTCAATTCTGTCAAAGTATTGTGTTTTCTGCTCAGTTAAAGATCCTAACAAAAACAAGAATTCCTTACCTACAGTACCAACATCAGTGAGAGGGACATTACAAATTCAAAATGGACAGCCTTTCTTGGAAAACTGCTTTCTAAGTCAGTGTGTACCATCTGCATGCAAACTATTAATTTCTTCTAAGCAGAAGGAAAATTACATTGAATTTGATCTCTCTCATATTAAGAATCCTTAACAGACTAGTGTACAGTAGGTGTTTTAAAGGTACAAGACAGGAGACCAGCTCATTTCTGGAGCCTGTTCTTATTCAATAATAAAATCCAGGAACCTTTTAGGATAAAGAAAGTAGTATGAGGTCTTATGAACTGGTGCACAGCAAGTAATCCAGACCTGGAAAGTAATTGCCAGCAGCAACAAACAAGTTAACCCTACCAGTCCAGATACCCAAGGCGTAAATCTAAACAACAGCACTTGCAAAAGTTTTACTTCATACAGTTTTTCTGCAGAGTGTTTCCCACTGAGTCAGTTGTATTCTTAGTCAGATCTCTTCTGCCTTCAGGAAACCTGATGATAATTAACCAAATTGGTATTTTAATGCTCTTGGCAACCACTTTATTTACTTTCTTATTACGTTTTTTGGCCATTATTCATTTTGTGCTGTTCCATATGTAACAGTTAATAGGATATTTTGGGTATTTCTACCAAAGTTTGAACATAACCATCAGCACAGTCAACACTAGGTTGTGCTGAAGGGTGCGGCATGAACATGCACCAGAACTGAGCAGTTCAGTGTGTGTATAAAACTCAAGGAAGCAAACGATCACATTAGAGCAAAACAGCTCTAGCCCACATGTGCAAAACTTTTTCCAAGACTCCCACTCCCACTCCAGGATGACATAATATAAACCAGACTGATGTTGTATAAAAATACGGCATCATTTATTGCCACATTCCTCTTACTGGCTTAACAATGATTTGAAAGAAAAACACCAATAAAAAAGTTTTATTACGGTTGTAACTCTTCAACATCTTGTAATCCACTCAAGTTTCCATGTTGGCCTGCCTGCTTGTCCCTTAGATTCGGCCGCTGGGACACTGGTCATTGCTGGTTCTAAGCCAAATGGATGGTGCAGAGCTTATCTATCTCAGGCTAGGCCACATATCATGAGCAGGCTGCTGCTGAGACTGCATTGTCCCGTGTCGCAAGGATTTCCCTCTCCGCCATCAGCCTCTGGTGAATTACAGAACCATCCTTGGATACCTCTTCTCTGCCTTCCTCTAGAATGGCAGCTGAGCCTCTTCAGTGTTGGCTCTATTATTATTTTTATTTCAGCAGATGTGTCTTCCAATTCCCAGTGCGAACCATGGAGGGAGGAGCTTCTGCTTCACAGTAAGAAGCTACATAAGTTCTTCTCAATCACTGCACAAAGTCCCTTCTGATGAAGATTAAGCTTTAGGATCTTTTTTTTCTGGCTGCACATTTCCAGTTTATGGCTACACAGTTCTCTGGATGAAAGAAACTTATATTGGCATCTTACACTGGTGTACTCACTTCCAGATCACTTGCTTCTCCATTTTCGGTCTTCACATCACAGATGGCAGGCTCTACCATCTCAGTTATTGAACTGTGAGGCATCCTTGCCAGTTGCAGCTGCTTGAGCAAAGTCATATGGGAGTATGTGCTCACAAAGTCCAGGAATACTCACAGGAGGAACAGCAACAGACAGGCGAACAGTTGGAAATGTTATTATGGAATAAGACAGAAAAAAGGCCTTTGTACCCCAACTTGCTGGGTTTTCCTTATTTAAGACTCTCACCAATCACACAGCTTAAGCTCTCTGCTGCCCAGCTACTCACAGGTGGACAACACTGACCTCACCTTGGCTCTTGGCAGCTGTCAGCAAACTTCACATAACCACTGTGATTCAAATGCCTTTCTGTCATTACTCCAGATGTAGGTTGGTGAGCCAAACTGCAACACCACACGTTTTCTTAAAGCAGTCTGTTTCTGAGAAGGCATCATACCCTTACCAGCAGATACTTCCAGCAGTTTGTTTTGTTTTGGGTAGGGCTTTTTGGCAAGGTCTTTCAAGTCAATCTGTTTGAACTCACAGGATTTAGTAGACTGACTCATTTCCCCTTAAGAAGCTCTTCTCATTCATGTCTTCTGTTGATAGACAGGTAAGATAAGAAAAGAACCCAGAAGAATTGAATCAGGCACTCAATATTTCACGCCCTGATGGGTAGCAGCCATTATCAGGACTTCTCTGTTAAACTTTGACAACAGCCACCTGTGCTATCCTCTTAAAAGTTGACAGCCAGAAGAAGAGGAACTCATCTTTGAACTGTCCTCAACCTTTTCAGTTTGAATTACCTTTGGTAGATCCAAAAGTAGCTCTGTATTCTCACACCAGTCCTGCCAATGACATCATGAGACACTGAAATCTATTTTCAACTGACTATTTGTCACCCCCTCCCTGCAATGCACACTGGATGGTTAATGAGTAGTTGGACAATATGTGCATTTATCTCCATATGTATCTCTCAGGCTTATGCTTTTTAAGTAGTCATGGCTATGCAGGCTGCATATCCTACACGTTCCCAAACTAGTAAATATGGGAAGCATTCACAGTAACCAGAAATTCAAAGCTTAATTGTCTTTGAACCTGTAACATTAGAAAGTTCCTGATGTCCATTTACTGAGCTAGTCAGCTTATAAAAAATAAATTATTTATTACAGTTAAAATGAATGAATGGGACTGGCCTAGGACATTAAGAATGACATATTTTAGAGATATTTTCTTCTGCAACAGAAATGCGTTTCAATTTCTGACTGAACAAAGTTGTTTCAGTTAACAGGCACTGAACGTGCTGGGAACCTCTGCAGATGAGGCTGCAGATTCACAGGTCTTGCTCTTTGTAGGAACTCTCTGTCACTTCAGTGTGCTCAGTCTCCAACCCATCCTCACTGAATAGGGAATTTTCAGGTAGGAACCAAATGTACCCTTGCCAATTCCTGCCTATTCCTCACCATGGGCTCCCAAGTTTTTATCAATTCTAGCTAACACTTATTATATAAAAGTTTTGAATTTTCTCAGGGACACCTCACTTAGCTGCTGTCATATATGTGAACAACTTGTAGGCTTGTTAACAGACACAATACTGTAAAGTGCATATTAAACAGCACACACTATAATTGGAGCATGTTTTTAATTCTTGGATAATTTCATTAATTGTATTCATGTGACTGTAGTCTTTAACCTGTATTTTATTAGCATTGTCTTGCAATCTGACTTCAAAAAATTAATCTCTAGAATGCATTGAGATGATGGAAATACTAAACTGAAATTTTATTAAAGAAATCCAAGTTTGACAGAAGATGGATTCAAAATCACCTCTTCTAACATTGGTGTCCATCTTAAAATCCAGTTTGCAGCCTGTTCTTCCCTCAAGCACTGCATGTACTATGCATTTTCTTTTAAGTTTCAGGTTTTGTAGAAAAAAAAAAAAGAAAAAAATTTTCTTCAAATGATGTGTGAATACTTGATCAGATAAGAACCCTCATGTTGACCCAAAGGCCTTTTGTCTCACGAACTATAAGCAACCAGATCTATAGGTGTAATTATAGGTTACATTACCATTAAAATACGTTACACTTGTAATATCAGGTCACATTTGCAGGACATAGACATATTTGAGTTCATAAGGCAAAATGAAGCAATGCCATTTACACCATAGCTCTGCAGATAACTGTGGACTGTACTTACCTGGCTGTAGTTCTGATGGTGTTGTCTTTATTGTGGTTGTGCTCTTTGCTCACCTTTTCTGCAGAGGAACATACATGTTTTTTGTGATTAGCATGTATCATATTTTCCCTATCAAGTTTTATTCAGCAGAACTCTTTTTTTTTAGTGATTCCTGATAACATAATCCAGAGTAATTTAGGATGAATGGCTACAGCACTCTTAGACCATGGGCATAACTTTACTTAAACAAACACCTAACAAATGTTTTCAGCTTCAGTGTTAGTACTCCATGCAAAGTGTACAATACAAGCATTCATTAAACACAGTGCTGATATCATTGCCTTTATGTAGCAACTGAGATTCACCTTCTTTGTCAAGAGAAATGGGCAGTGCAGCCCCAGGAGCACTGCATGTAGCAGGCATTTATGCCAGTAACTGCCATCTATAGGTTCCCCTATACTCTAAGGCCTGGATCAACGAGTTGTAACAAATTACTTAATTAGTTTTCAAAAATACAGGAGCCGAACTCTGGCTTTTCCAATTCAGTTCAAATATTGTGAACCTAACCCGACTGTCACAGCTCTCTAAAGCATATGCTAACTATCGGGGACATTTGGCAAAGCTTTTGTGTTCCAAACATGAGGGCAGAAGGGCTCTCACCCCTATTATTTTTCAGCCTTAGGAATATCACACTTTCATAGCACCTTAATGGTTATACACAATCTCTTCATGTTCTTTAAATTCAACTATCAACTATTTCCACTGCTTTTACCTGATAACTGGAAGAGCAGCTCAGATGCCATCTTCACTGATATGTCTTGGCTGAATAGATTTCTTTCTGGGAGCACACGGCCTTCTGGTGCCTTCTGTATGTGTTCACTGATGTCTTGCCCTAATAAAGTGCTATAGACAACATTTTGGCTGGGCTGGTTGGGTGACACTGAAGCCTGCGAATCATGAATGTCAACTTCCATGGGTTCTTCCTTTATCTTTACCATCTGGGTTTCCTTGTAACTCTCAGCTGCAAATTTGTATTTAAAAAATAAATAAATATAAACAACCAGCACAATTATTTAATTAGGCTACAATTTTTCAGAGTACTCAAAGCAGGAATCACTATTACAAAGTTATAATTTGTATACCATATCCCTGCAAATGGTAAGGGAAGCAAGCAGCTGCCTGCTACAGTATTCTTCTGGGGGTTATAAACAGCAGCAATCTCTTGAAAACAATTTCTCAAACTGGAAAGTAGGAAACAGCTGCATATTTGTAAACATGAGTTATATCACTTTCTATGAATACTGGGTGATCACAGACCAGCTAGTGAAGCTTCGTTTTTATTTATTAAATAAAGTTGCATCTACACACCAGCTCTCCAAAGGTGGGCATTGAAAACTCTAAATTACTCTTCATCAGCAGCAGTAGCAGCAGCAGCACAGACAGTTGGAAGTATTGGTATGGTGGTTGTAGTGGAGGAGAAAACCTCACCTGCTCCTCTTCTCCTCTTTTCCACTTCTATGGAAAATTCTAGGCAACTATGTGAAGAATCTGCTTGTTATATCTGCATACGCTTTCAAAATGACAGGAATATTCTGGGATCCATGCTTTTCTAAAGTCTGATTTTGTAACAAGCATAGACATTCCATCACACATTACCAATAATCTTAATGATCAGTTTCCTAAGCCCATATCCTTCCCTTCTCGCCTTCCTCTCAGGTGCCCTAGTTCTAGCAAACAAAATGATAGTCTAGAAGCCAATTTGTAGTTCACTTTATATACTTGAGATTTCCCAGGTGTTGCTGAATGCTCTGGTTTGGCTGCAAGGTAAGTGACAATTTTCTTCAGAATAAAAGTCCTGAAATGTCAAAATTGAGGCTCCAGGGTAATTTGCCTACCACACCCTAAGTACCTACACAGCCCTTTTGATTCAGACTTTCTGATGTGAAAAGAGAAGATGAAGACTGGTAGAATTTATTCTCAATTTAGATGATTTCCTGAAAGAATGCTCCAGAACTGGACACAGAACTTCAGGTGGGGTCTCACAAGAGCAGAGTAGAGGGAGAGAATCACATCCCTTGACCTGCTGGCCACATTCAAACAAACAAATAAGGTACATGGTATTTATTAATTTGGCCTAAACCTGTAAATGTACTTCTGGTACTACCCAAGATCCTGAAAACTTCAAGGAAAACCTGCTTCTGTTTACTCATTATTAGCATATGCCCTAAATTGTCACCTATGTAGCCTCCACAGCTGGAGTTAAGGGAAACTGTGTGTTTTAATTGCTCAGATCTCATGAGCCAAAGGGGGAAAAGTCAATTCTAGCAGCCAGCAAAAGAGGCCATGATAGAGGGTAGGAACAGACACACTGCAGCACACAGAGCCAGAAAAGCAGAGAGCCTAGATGCTGAGTGGATTAAGCCCTGAGAGAGAGGTCTGGCCCTTGTCCCGACTGGGGATCTGATATATGACCATGGGCTGGCATGTTAACTGGTGCAGACAGGAGCTGGCCGTCCTGCTAGCAACAGGTCACTGATGCTAACACACCGCACAGGGAGTTTCCTCACATGGAAGTTTCCTTGTCATCTGTCAAATTTTAATACTTTGAAAGCTCTGATATTAAAAAAAAATAAATGAATAGCTGTTTGTAAGAAAAAGCCCAAACACAAAGAGAATTTTCTATTACCTTTGTGTCACAGAGAAGAAAGGGGGCAGGGGGAGAAGGAATTCACTAACTTCACTTGATAAATTAATCTGTTGCTGTTCTCTCTGTTCCTCCTTTCCTCTCAAACTCACCTATGATTGTGTCAGCTTGACACTCCAAGAGTGAATGTTTCAAACACCCCAGGCCTTTTCTTTCCAATTACCCAGTATTACAACAAATCTCAGAGGCACCAAAATATGGTTTGGTCATCCCTGATAGCATCCACGAGCTAGCCAACTGGTTGGTGTCATCTTGTAATCTCTAACCAAAGACAAACTGAACCCCTTTAATATGAAGACATATGCTTTCCACCTACAATTAAACTGATGTGTGTCACCAAGTCCTTTTCCATTCCCCTGGTTCCTGTTGTTCAGAAGTGGAGAAAAAGTGGCTTCGCTGCCTACAAGTCACTTTGAAAAAAAAAATAAAAATGGAAACCAGGAGATAAAAGCCTCTTGCATATGTTCCAGGAGTGATTTACATGAAGTGCCTTCATTTTTTTCTTATGACATTTCTTGACCTTTAAAAGAAATGTATAAACATTGATAAAAATCTTTACCATCTACAATCCATACAGATACTCTCAACTGAAGACAAGTTGGAAATACCATATAATGTCTTTTTGTCCTGTTAAGCAGATTTATCTTTTATTATTTTTCAATTTAAAGTTTCCATGAGCCTCTTATTATAAAAGCACAGAACATTGCATCTGTGTTGAAAAGTGTAAAAATAGCATGCTGTGCATTGAAAGTGACCACAGAACAGCATGGAATGAATCAGGTAACACTGTCAATCAAAAGCTCAGGTAACTCTATAAACAAATGAGTTCTTAGATGTCTAACAGACCAAGCTGCACCCAGCTGCCAAATTTAGGTGCAGGGTCAAGATGACCTTTGCTGCTCCCTCTGCCTTTAAAATATTCCTTCTATTTATGTTCCTGCCCCACACAGTTTAACTCCCTGTCCTGCAAATGCTTTTGAGTCAGACAAACTGATATGACCCTGTCTAAGGCAAGAGTCAAGCAATACCAATGACCTTCTCTCCCTCACAATCAGACAGCACTCAGAGTGCCCTAACTAAATATATATATTTGATCATTTCCTTTGCCCTTTATCTTCCCAGCTGCATCCTTTTGATCTGACAGAATATCCCTACCAAATGTGAATTCTGTCATTCTCTGATTCTCAAAAGCAAACACAACACAGAAGACTAAAGGAGGGTCTCTATGATATCTTTACAAGAGCTAACGTAAGGAAAGCACAGTCAGTCTGTCCCATGAGCAGCACCCACAGGCATACAGCCCCTTTGTGCTAGATCCTGTGCTGGTAGAATACTGTAATTAAGGTTACACCCATACCCATCTCACCATACAAGCAGTCAAACTGCAATTTCTTGAGGATTTTTTTCCCCTTCTGTTCTATAGACAGTTAATTTGTGGAGTAAGGTGACACCTCTTATTTCCTTACAGAGGTATCTCACATGGTCCTACCACAGATAAAGTTTTTCAAGTCAAGGCACCAGAAGTACACTAGAAGGTCCCTGATTCAAATAATTAAAATCATGATGGCTTTGGCTTCTTTCCACTTTTGCACTTCTTCTTAAGTAGATGGGTTAGGTCAGATAAACTGCAATGTTTCAGAGCACTTAGTATACGAGAGTCATTTTCTTCATGCCAGTTTTTTTCAAAAGTACAGACATCTAATTCCTAGCAAAAATCAGCAGGGGACAAAGACTTAAGTAGCTTTAAAGTATTCAGACTGTGATCTCCTAAACATAGTCTGCTGTTCATTCAAAACTAACCTGAATGGAGCTCAGAACAATAGCACAGCAGTGATTGTTGCTCATCTGGCAGAAGATGAACTAAATCCCCTAATAAGCCTTTTTTCTGGTGTTAACCTTTGTGATATGGAAACACATAACAAAATAAGAGAAAATTATTGCATACATCAATGTACTATCATCAAGCCACAGAGATGCTGTTTCTTTACATAGCAGAACAACATTTAACCAACTGACCCATAATAATTTCAATGAACTTCATACTATTCACATTGAGCGAGTCAATTTTCCACATAAGATATGAAAAATGCAGTATTGGACAGGCTTGTTCCAGAAGGAAGTAATTTCTTCCATAGTTTTCAGGTTCTCTGGCCTTCACAAATGCAAGGAAATGCAAGGTAGGGGCACTTGCTAAAAAAAATCCCAACAAGTTCAGGGTACAGCATTCATCCCTAAAGGTCTGACAGTGTCACCTCGTCAGTAAGATGCCAATGAAATCCAGTCTTAGGCTACACCTCTCCACAGCCTAGGACAGAGATTGCCAAACTTCAGAAAGAGCTTATTCAAGCTACTTCACTCAGAAAGTTGGGGCTACCACAATCCAACACAAGTTGTGCACAAGTAAGCAATGTGCCCTTGTAGGAAGAAAGGCCAATGATGTTCTAGGTCGTATAATCAAATCTGTAGTCATCAGGTAGCAGGAGGAGATTCTCACCCTCTATTCTGCACAGATGAGACTGCATTTAGAGTACTGTGCCCCACTTGGGGCTCCCCAGTACAGGACAGACACTGACATCCTGGAGAATGTTCAGTGGAAGACTACTAAGGTCAGGTAGGAGGCTGCTGCAAGATGTAAGAAGAAAACAGCTAAGCCTTGGTGTTTGTTCAGCCTTAAGGAAACAACACCAAGGGGACATTTTATTGCTATCAACAAGTCTCTAAGGTATAAAGGGAAGATACAGAGGACCTAGAGTCAGACTTCTCTCAGAAATACACACAGAAGAAAAATATCAGTCAGGGTGGTGAAATACGGACACATGTTGCTGAGAGAGGCTGGGTTCTTCATCCTTGGACACATTCAAAACCTAATGAGACCCTTAGCAGCCTGGTCTTGTTGCACCTGCTTTGTGCAAGAGTTTGGATTATATGAACCCTGGAGGTTCCCTCCAAACTAAGTTATTCCATGAATCATTGGCACTAGACCAGCTGCAGGTTTATCTAGCAGAACTTTCAAAACCTCCAAGCAAGGAAAAGCTACAGCAACCTTGCATTACACTTGTTCTAGTGCTGCACTAGCAATTTTTCCTAATGTCCACTCTGAACCTTCCAAGATGCAGCTGATAGCTGTTGCCAGTTTTTTACCATTTCCCACTACTGAGAAGAGTTTGATTCCACTGCTCTTCTAAGTTTCCTTCAAGTAATTGCAGGCTGTGAGAAGATCAGCCTTTAGTCTCCCTTTACCAGACTGAACAGGTCCAGTTCCCTCAATGCCTTCTTGTAGGCCATGAGCCCTAGACCCTTAATCAGTTCTGCTGCCT